ATGTTTACTAGCGTTTGTCACGAATTTTTACCTGATTAGCGAAAGTTGTTTCCAAAAGCAAAATTATTGATGCTTTAGATTTTAAAGTTTGAGGTACTTTATAGACTTCAAAAAATAGAAAACATTAGTTTTTCAGCAAATAAATTAAATATTAATTTTTAAATCAATGTCTTTTTTAATCTAAAATACATATTTTTATATTAATTTATTAATATTTATATACACACACAGCATTGGTAGATAAAAAGTAGGTATAAAAGTAGGTGAAAAAAGCAAAGCAATTTTTTAATTAACCATTAATTAAGAATATATTAAAAAGTACAACATAACTGTGCAATAATAAATAATAATATAAATAAAAATATAAATAATCATAAGTAAAATTAGACCGCTTATTCTGTAACTCTTAATGATAATATCATTATTGTTACATTCTCGTTACGCAGATTTTATACATGATAAAAGAGCTATGCAACGACAATGTAATGGCACTGACATTGTTATTAAAAGTTACAAAATAGGGACCGATAAGAATCATGAGAGATCCTATTTTCCATCCTATTTTCAATCAAAGCGCACGTTTGGCAATATTCATATGCAAATTTGCAAATACATTTTGCAGTTACATAAACCGCGTGCTGAATCAATTTGTCGGAGTTGGAACGCAATCATAAAATGAAGTTGGAATATCCAGCTTCAAATTACATTGATCGTCAATTTAATGATGATAATGGCAGACTCAACAGTTGAGTGAGCGCTCGCTGCTATTGATATATTCTTCTAGATCTAAAATCTGGTTAGACGATCTAAAAGAATACACCAATAACAGCGAGCGCTCACTCAACTGTTGAGTTTGCTGAACGCAGCCAATAACAAGGATCTTGAAAAACTGCAAAGAACTTATTGCAAAAAATATCAGTCGGGAATCGAATCTGAAGCCTTATTCTAAAAAAATATCATATACGAAAATACTAAGGAAATCTATAATTACAATATACTATAGTATTTATGTACATTTTCATATGCGATATTGGATCTCATTTTGTGCAGACACGTCTTATCAATTTGACTGCCGAGGTATAAGGAGATATTTGCAAATGTATATAAACATTATCAAGCATCACCATCCACTTTAACCAAAAATAGGATTGTTTCTCTTATTTGATTTATAAATCTGAAACGTGGCTGATATTCACAGTATGTTATTTTTCATATTACACGATATCGACATTACGTATTGAATCATAAATTGCTGTCGATAACTTTCTACATACAGTAGCGTATTTTCATTGAAAGTGACAAATTAATATTTGCAGGAAATATTACACAATAGGATAGCGCGAAAAATCGGGCTAACCAAACAAACGATTCATTATAAACAGCTATCGAAAACTGTTAAATAGAAAAGCCCGTACAATATGTACACTAGCGAATCTGGAAGTCGCGAAACATATGATGGAAGAAGAAAGTGGCCACCGTGAAATGCTCACACCGTAGGTTTCTTCGCAGATAGAAACTCAAGTATCTCTACTTGAGTATCAATGTGTACGCATTTAGCACGTATTAGAATTACTTGCGGAAGGACTGCTATCACTGAGTAATAGCATTTAATTTTGTCATGTATGACAACTTTATTAAGTTAGCTTGGATTATCGGTTGTCTCGCTTAACGAAGAAAAAATGAGAAAAAATTTAACGTACGATATTAGTTTTTTTTTTGTCGAGATATCTTAATTGAAACCTGTCGAGACTATCTCGATTACTATATAGTATTCGATTACTTTTCGTTCGTATTATTTATTATACGTATTTTTTAAGATTCTTGTTCACTCACTATTATTTTAGATGGTGACATCAGAAGCGGGAAAATACACAATAAAAATTTTTGCAAAATGGATTAAAAAAAATATGTTTCAACAAAACAACACTTACAATCGATAGAACCGACTCATAAAATATATTCTTCCTTTTTGTTTCGTTAATTAATAAATAACATATCTGGAAATAAATAATGCATAATTAAAAATGAATAAGCTATGTTTACAGATCACAAACAGTCAAATTATTAATACACAGAAATAAATATGGTTTACTTTTTCTCCAAAACAAAAAAAGAGTTTTTGATATTCATTAAAAATGTCTTTTGTATTGATTAAAAATATTATTTCATCAAAAAATATTTCTATTTAAATATGACTTTTGCGAGAATTTTTTTCTCGCTTCTAACGTCACTCAAACTGAGATAGCAGTGATGAGGAAACAGGAGCTTTAAACTCGTGTCGCACTACGCATTGAAGATCAATGATTGTAAGTTGAAGATTAGAATCCAGCCAATCAGAACACAAAATGGATTAAAATTAAAATTATCTGCCTGGTTGAATTTTGATCTCTAATCTTCACAATCCTCAGTCTCCAATGCGTAAAGTGTCACAGACTTTAAGATCACATTAGACTACGCATTGGAAATTGCAAATTGAAGATTAGAATTTGATAAATAATTTTAATTTTAATAATTTTAATTTTCGTTCTTGTCAAATTTTAATCTTCAATTGGCAATTTTCAGTCTCTAATGCATACCCAGGACACCTATCATGGAACAAGGTCGGAATGGCTTCCGATAGGAATTATTCAATTATTACCTAGATTTCTATTGTGTTTTCTAAAGAAAACGGAATAATTCCGACCGATATGTTCCATAACAGATACCCAGATAGCACAAAAAGGATTCAGTCTTTTGTCATCAATTTCGAGTCCATTTTCAAATACAAAAAGAATTCTTTTCAGAATTGTTCAGAAAAAGAATTCTTTTTGTGTCTGAAAATGAATTCTAAATTGATGACATAACAAACTGAATTCTTTTTGAACTCTCTGTGCTGTCTGGGTAGTTTGGCTTCACGACATTACAATAGCGTCACCACATAAAGTTTTCCCTTGAGTTTTCCTAAACCTCGATCCAATCACTTCGCACTCAACGAGATTGACATTATTCGAGTCACTGTCACTTGGCACGAGAATACGTAATCCACCACCGCGAAGAGAACAGCAAGAATATGATGTTAAAGAAAAAAAAAAGGGCACATCTTCTTACATCATGGAGCAAGAAGAAATCGATACAGATGTTACGGAAGAAACAAAAAAAAAGAAGAGAAAATCAAAGGAAAGTTCACTAAGCGGGAAAGCTGATCAGTGAATGAATGGTTTCGTACTCACCAAGCGCATGATGCTGTCTGTGCCCACGCTCGTTCAGTACTCGGCTTTTACTCGGGAAGATGATCTCCTGAATAGGTAGGTAGGTAGGTAGTGATAGTCCCTGATTCGCGTTGGAGGTGGGGTCACGTACCCCACCGGTGTTAACACACGTATGTATGTATAAGTTACATGTGCAGGTGGCAGGTTCACTGTCCACCAGCTGCGTCTCGCCGCTTTCGGTCGTCGCGGATCGGCTCCTTTGAATACCGCTGCGTTCTCGTGACCCATTTCCATCGCGTTCCCGCGCGTTGGGAAAGGGAGGGAAATGGGGATAAGTTACTTCGGATGAGTACTTACGTGTCACGTGGCTGACATTCGAATACGAGGGTACTGTAAATACAGTACTTAAGTACCGATCTCGCTCTACTCTTATTGTACACAATCTTTTTGAAAGAAAATTAACACGAATTGCACCTTTCCAAAACAATATCACTATTATCTTCTTGGCTCGATATATCGATGGCGATACTCTTATGAAAATTTTTGTCAAAATTTTTATATGAATTGGTGGAACATTGAAATACAGTATTTCAATGTTCCACCAATTCATATAAAAATTCTGACAAAAATTTTAGTATTTTAAATACTGAGAAAGTCTTCTCTTTGAATGTTTTATATATGTAAATTCTAAAATATTTTAATTATAAGATTTCTAAGATTCTATTTATTCTCATTTTATAATTTGTGAAAAAATACCTTAAATTTGTTCAGATTTTATAAGATTTCAATAAAAGAAATAACAATAAGAGTAATTATGAGCCAAATAAAACAAATTTAATGTAAATATAATACAGTTGACATTAAACATAAAAATAAAACAAGATCAAAATATATATCTACCTAAAACTCATTTTGAAAATGACTTGAAGGTGGTCGAAGCGTTAGTTTTAGGTAGACATATATTTTGATCTTGTTTTATTTTTATGTTTAATGTCAACTGTATTATATTTACATTAAATTTTGTTTGATTTGGATCGTTCTATTCTTATTGTTATTTCTTTTATTTAAATCTGCTGAGCCATTCTTTATTATGTATTTTTATAAGATTTTATTAAAAATTATAGAATAAGAAATTTTAGAATCTTTTAGAATTCACATATATATGAAGACTTTTAGAAAAAAGTATGTAAACTTATTCAGCACTTCTGAAAAGTGTTCCAAAAGTTGTATAAAAAATTTGAAAAATTTTTTAAAAATTATAATATTATTAAAAAATTCTAAAAAATTGTAAGATTTACAAATTACAACAATTCTGAAGAATTAAATGAAAGGTTCTGAGAAAAATTTTCATTAGAATATGTATTGTTTTGGATAAAGATTTGGACTAATAAAGATTCTTTTGAAAAAAATGTACATTTTCTAAAAATGTATATAACCAAATTTTTTTTGATTCAATACATACTTAGAAAATTAAATATATTTAAATAAAAAAGAATTATAAAAATTACAAAAGAAATCTTCTAGACGTCCACTTGCTGAAGTTAAAATTCATTAATGTCCATTTCCATCAACAGATTAATCTCGACTTAACAACTTACTATTTATCTTTTCCTAGTTCTGATAATTAGAAAAGTGATAGAGAGTAAATAGCGAGATAAAATTAATCTACATTGTGTGGCAACAACAGATACAAAGTAGATTTTAGAATTCAGCGAATGTCATTTTTATGATAAACTTTTGCTACGAGTGCAATGATTAATTATGAATTGCAGCGGTATGTACATACTTATGACCCATATGACACAAGGGCAATTATGTACATGTCGAAGTCGAAGCCGCATCGAACGGTACGCACGTCGGTCGCGCAACGACCTTCGCCTTCCTCGATGAGAAACGCAGAAAGGCGAGAACCATGGCGGCGGTACTATTGGCGAAATTGTGCTTTCGCTGTGTCGTGCGCTTTTCCGACCGAGAGTACATGCGCTGAGGGAAGAAAGCCGTCGAGATTGAATAGGAAGAAAAAATGGTACGTGAGAACGTAATTGTCCGTCACTGTCGTCGCGAGGCAGGCACGTAATCGAATGCCGGAGTAATTGGTGGCGGGCTAACCTCTGACCGGACAGCCGATACCATTCCGCAATATGTTGCGTCATTTCGTCGAATGAGTCTCTTCGAAATCAAGTTGATTGACCACGCTGTTTACAAATTTCTTAATTTAGTACTAGAACATATAATTAGCTTTCGAATTTTTTTACCTTTTATTTTAAGAATTGATCTTTTCTTATGAAACCTTCATGTCGCATTTCTTATAATTACATGTACTGATTACATTTGCTTTTCATATCTTTCAAGAATTTATTTGTATACTATTAATTTTACGTAAATGTATCCTAGATTATTTTGGATAAATATGTAGATTAAAATTATTTTATATAGATGCAGATTTGTGTTTACTAATTCTCTCTCTGTGTGTTTAGAAAACATTTTATTATATAATACCTATAATATAATATGTACTGTTTGATGCTGTACTTAATAATATTTCAAACAGTTGACCTACATAAAGATTATGTTCTATAAGAGATCTTTATTAAATTTGTATTAATAAATTCATATAATTAAACACTTAGCATCTACTTATTACTTTATGCATTGACAGAACCACTGCAGTGAATCTAGCAATGATACGGATGAAGGCGATGATCAGGAGGCGTCTTCTTTGCAAGAAGGAACAAACATTGAGGATACCTTAACATCTTTCAGGGAACAATGGCAACGTGAGTTAACGATATCACCTAAGCGTGATACATCAAAGACGTATTCACCAAATCAGCCTAATATTGAGGTCGCAAATGATGAAGCTTCTATCGAAAGCAAGGTATAGTAATTATTGTCGAAATAAGTTTTGAACTTTTATAACGTTTCTTCAAAAATATATTTCTTGTTTCAGGCAAAGAATTTATTTCTTAAAGGTATTGAACACGAACAAAGCAGAAAGTTTTATGAGGCAATTCAGTTTTATAAGCGTGCGGTACAATTAGTTCCTGATATTGAAGTACGTTTGTATGAATCAACAAAAGCAAAAGCAAGAGACAGATTCGATGCTGATGATTGTTTTGATACACTAGACAATGATTTTTCAACTACCAATGACAGCGAAAATCATAATGAAGTTGATGAAGAAGAAACTGATTTATTTTTGAAGTTGTCTAAAATTGTAAACCGCAATCAATGTGTATGTTTCCCAAAATTCGAACAAAGTGTAAGTATATTATTTTTAACCTTTATGTTGTAATTTTAAATGTACGATGTATTTATCCAGGGTTGTAATTGAAATGTGCTACATTCTATATTCGACATTTTCTTTATGTATTTCAGACAACACATATCTCTGCATTACCTATGGAGATAGTGCTTTACATTCTGAGATGGGTTGTGTCTTCTGAACTGGATTTTCGATCGTTAGAAATGTTTTCAAGAGTATGCCGTGGATTTTATATATCTGCACGAGACACGGAGATCTGGCGACTTGCATGCGTTAGGTAAATATTGAAAGATAGCGTGATTATTGGTTGTTAAATTGGAATTGTTTTCAATAGGGTATGGGGTGTAAACTGTGGTACTTGCGAACCGAAATACAAATCATGGAGGGATATGTACTTGAAACGGCCTAGATTAAGATACAACGGATGTTATATCAATAAAACAAGTTACATACGCGATGGAGAAAATAATTTCCAAGACCGTTTTTACAGACCATGGCATCTCGTTGAATATTTCCGGTACCTGAGGTATATAAAAACATTATTGTAATATCTGCAAAGATTCAATTTTCTTGCTATCATGTTATGACATTCAAAGTGACAAATTTCTCACAATATTTTTCTTGCACTTAGATTTTTTCCCGAAGGAAGAGTTTTAATGTTGACATCGACTGAGGAAGCTCAAATCTGTGTAAATTCCTTACGAAATCGCATACCACGCAACCCATCAGTTCTAATTGGTCATTTTCGATTACATGATAATTATGTGACACTTGTGTTGAAAAGACAAGAAACTAAAGGAATCAATTTCTACAGAAGAAAGAAAAGAGAACCGGTGCATGATAGTGGCGAACAAACGTTTCATATCGTAAGTAATAAATATATCTGAATATTATTGAATATTATGTATCAAAAATCAGTTAATACATTTTCCCATACATGTAATCGTAGGAATTTGAGATACAGAATCATCATAGAAGAGTAAACTCGCAATTGAAATGGATCAGCTACAGTATTTTCACAAAATATAAAAATGGACAGGAAGCGAAGATTTGTCTAAAGGAACCATCTGTAAGGGAATTCAGGGCGTCACCGATTGGTGGTAGATATCCACCTCTTAAATTCAGCAGGGTAAAGAGTTACACTCAGGAGAGCGAAGTACCATTATAGTAATGAACTGACAACAAACAAATCATATGAATCATGAGAGTACAATTATCGAATTATTCTTACAGAAGAAAAATAGTGAATGTAGTGAATTCTCAGTATGTTATAAAACCGAAAACAAAGATGAATATGTAATTATAATTAAGTGTACTTTTCTTTGAATTATATTAAATACGTATACATATTTTTCAAGATATTTTATTTATCTTGTATCACGCATTGTATTCTATTATAACAGTTTCCTATTGTATATTATACAACCTGCAAATCACAACTATTCTTAAAGAATTAATTACGACGATAACACTTCCAATCATGAAAGTGGTGTAACTTATTTATACAGATCTAATATATTTATTTAAGCACTAGATTATAGTGCCTTACATCGCAATGAGTTGCATACTTCGGAACTTAACAAAGTATGTACTGAAGAATGTAATTACATAGTTTTGTTTATCAATTAATTATTGCTCAGCTATACTTAAGTTTAAAGTGTGTTAATTGAATAAAATTTATGTAAATTTTTTAAATTGTGTATATAATTTTGTATGATTATATATAATAAAAAATAGCAAGCACTGAAATATTGTATGATCTTATTTATGCAATGAGAATATAACGATGTACACTTGTGTGGTACAAAATACAACATATCAACTCTTGCGGGACATGTGAAATGTATGTTCATACTCTGTATTACTATTAATTGCTCTTTTTGCTACTAAATAATCTTTACATAAAATCGTAAATCTGTAACCGATTTTTATTGTATATCAATTCGCTATATATATATATTATAATATGAATTACTCATCTAAATTGAAATTTACATTTCTACTTTTCCTATTTCTGAATGGCGAAATAGAATTAGCTAACCTTTAGAATAATTTTATTATCGCGGTTCAGTATCACCTGAACAACGGATTATCTTACTATAGTGGAATTGAACCAGCATCCACTGATATATTGAAATAATTTCATCTCTGAATATATCATAAAGCGTAACTGATTTAAAGAAATGGACGTTCAGAATATGTATATTGTTGGATACCTCTGATCAAAGTCTACACAGTCCGAGAATTTTTAACTTTACTTAATAATTTTTCCGTATATTTAAGTCGTTTCTGAAATTGTGTTTCAAATATAGTCTGATACGATCACAAGTTTTTATCATTCCAATTCAAGAAATAAATCAATTAAAAAAATTTCATTAAAATATACCACCCGGACAGCACACAATATTTTTGTGGTCTTGGATTGCACAGATTATAAACATTTATTATAAATATTATGAAATATTTATTGTAAATGTTATTGTAAATGTTATTTTAAATGCTATGAAAATACTTAATGAGATATTATAATTCAGGTAAAAAATACTTGTTAGAAATATTTATATTTACCATAAATATTACATGAAATACTTAGTCTATATTTTAATAATATTTCAAATAAAGCTTTATATAAAATATGTATGTAATATTTATGCAACATTTAAAAAATTGAATATTAATAAATATTTATCATAAATATTCTGTGCTGTCTGGGCATGTTTTCGAATTCGAAAAATCAATTTATTCTTAATGTAATTAATTTAGTAAAATAACTGTAAATTTGAAACAGCTTTTAATTTTTTTCATTTCTGTACTCAACATGAATTATATATTATCTATGCTATTAAGAACGATTCGGCTTTCGAATACGGACCTGTGAAGACTGCCGCATTTTAAGTTGTTGCATCACATCGTATTGTGCTCGTATTGCTTTCCAGATCATCTTTAATACTTTCTCTCACTATATGTTAATAAAGTATATACAATTGACTCTAGTAAATTCCTAACTTCTTTCAATATAGACTTATATGTTCTTCAGGTAACCATATAAAGAATAAGCGAGTTGTAAGGAAAAGTGGCAAATATAATAATTTTGCGTAAAATTCATTCTTAATATTTGAATGTTTATCTTGTGTTTTTCTCTTTTACGAGAGAAAAAAATGTAGATTTTTTTATTTAATTGTCGGATTTCTTCAATAACAATAATTTAATCATAAAAGGTACAAAATAATATTAATGTTAAAAAAAAATTTAAGATAGAAAAAAATTTTAAATCTGTAAAATGTAAACAAATTACATCAGTATCTTTTAAACATATCTTCACTCAATAAGAAAGATTACACTCTTTTGATACAAAACTATATCAAAAGTGTTTGGAAAGAAATATTCCAATTATATTATCAAAAGTAAATTGTAAAATAAAATATTTACGTCTTTTAACAAAATAAACATTACTTCTTTCTCGCATCATACCCGTCAGTTTCCAATTTTACCTTGCTTATTTATATGTTTGCAGAAAAACTCCACAAATATCCCATTACTGTTAAGCATTCGATATGATAAGTAACCGTACGTACTTTGTACTCATGATTGTACCTAAACCGTCCCGCAATAATTACATAAATTAAATAACTCTGTATTATATAAACTCTGTGTAATATATTCTGCAGCAAGCCGTCGCGTTCTTCATGATTCAATCACAATTCTTCGCGATCCGAAGGAAGAGAACTTGTTTTATTGCACGTAGACGGATCGGACATCCAAGCGAGATCCTTTAAGGTTGCGGCATGCATAGAACATACCGCTAGGACGACCATTACATGCATCACATTATGGGAATTCAGCACTAAATCCAATCGGCCGGGAATCCATTTCTCTGGAATGCGAAGAGCGCCAATGGTTGCACCTATCACAGCTATGAGATCCTGGAATTTATTTCTACATCAGCATTATTTCTAATATTTAATACACGCGACTATCTGGAATCATATTCAAAATGCACCTGTAATATTATATGAATAAGAGCCTCGGGTGATCCGCCACCAATACCGAAACATCTCAACATCATGATCAACATTCTCATTAGGAAAGGAGGGGCAAAACATAAACGCCTTTCCCAGGGTGATTTAGCAGTCATTGCCTACAATCACATTAACGTTTAAATGTTTTACCGCTACGAAGCGTCGTTGAATCAGTTGCAAGCTAAAAATACCTTTAAAAGTCCCCATACACTAAGAGAGCAATAAATAAAAATGCAGCAATACCAGACATTATCCGCAAGGCAATGAACAGCGGCTGCCATCATCGGTATAGCTCCTGAAATATTCGTGCGTGAAATAGAGAAGCGTCTATTTGCTACTATACGAACTGTTCTCGTAGTCATTTTCTTATTTAAAACTTTCTTCTTTTGAAGTAGAAATCGATCAAAAAATAATTTGTAAGTTTCCATTTGAAATATGAAAAGTTATTTATAAAACAAAATCTTGCAAATTTGAACTCTAGTCATACATATATATCTGTTTTTTCAACACATTCGGAAAAGTTTTTATTAAAGCCTAATCTACAGGGTGTTCTTTGCTTCCTATTTCTTGCTTTTTACCTCAAACCTTTTTCCTTCTTTGTGACGGAATTGTCTTATCGACAATTGCGTGTCTTTTTACGTTTCTTGTCTCTTCCGAAGTCCATGAACTTTTATCTCGGGTAACAGAAAACGAAGAAATTGAGTAAGAGACAAAAAGGCAAGTAAAAAGTGATAAAAATCAAGAAACAAAAAACACATTGTATATTAGCCTTTACAAATAGATCACGCACCGAAACTCTGGCACAGCCAAATGCCAATCATGTCGACTTTCAGCAGTGTTCTGTAGAGAACTTCGTCGTAGTTTACGTTCATGAAGAGATGATATAGGAAGGATCCAATCCACGGACTAACAGCACCGATAAAATGGCACCAGGAAAGAACTCCCACGAGTGTCCCTTTTGTATTCCATGGAAGTAGATGTGGTACAGTCACCAACATGTACAGGATAGCAAATCCTATAAGCACACATGATCGCTCGTACAGGATGCTTTCGGGTAAATGTATTTTGGGATGAAGTTCTTTGTTAGAAAATTGATGATGTTAGAAAATTGATGATATATCTTGAGCTGCGAGAATCTATTTTTATAAACTCTTTGGTCTCCGAGAAGTTTAAGAATTATATCTTTTATAATTTCTAAAGAAAATGTTGATACACGGAGAGAATTTTTTCTTAGAATTTACCTTGAAAATATGACAGTCGTGAGACAACATTGTGTATTTCGAAGAATTTTAATATAAATCTCTCTCATTCATTAATAAAACTACAATAAAGTATAAAATAAGTTTGATCAATTTTACTGAAGTGCATGGTAAAAATCTTTAAAATATTGTATTGTACCACAATCACCATATTTTCAGGGTAAATTTTAAAAGAAAATTCTCTCCGTGTAATTTCCATTAAAGAAGTGTATTGTTCGTCAAGAGCAAACTTTATAATTTCTTAACAAGTCTCTTAATTTTTGAGTCATTTTCTACCTCAGAAGTAACTATCCGATTGTTATTATATTGATAATTAAGAACTGAGAAACGTTAACGGGAAAAATTGACAGGTGTAGAGGGATTCATAAGATAGTTCAATTTTCTGAAAAAACAATTTTAAGTATATTAATAAGTTTTCTTTCACCTACATGGGTAGTTCTGACCTACTAAGATTTTATTTCACGCACATGTGCACCAGTCGATACATGAGATTTATATACGAGATGATTCATCAAAAACAAAACATTTGAATGGCTCTCTTAGTTTCTCCTTTGAATGAAGGGAAAAAAATTAAGGATAATTCGTCTAATTTTAAGGAGCGACAGAAAGAAGAGCTGTCTAGTCTCGCTATAAAAGGATTGCGATTTCAAATGCGTTCGTAATGTTTTATCGTTCGCGGATGTTTAGAATGTATTTGATTGACATTCGGTGCGATTAGAAATTTATCAATGAATCAGCTTTAACAGAGAAGGAATATCATATGGGTTCGCTTTCATCGATCGTTCGTTACCCTGCAATGCGTCTTCGTTGAGCGCGATGTTTTCACGGAAGTTGACCTTGATAATATACACCTTGACTTTAAAGCCCTTAAGGGACTTAATCTACTTTTCCAGTTAATCCAATCACGGGAATGGCAAACCTTTTACGTGATATAACTGCGTATTCTTTGGTTGGAATACAGTCGATCGCGTGAAGAATAATGATAGCTACTATTTCAAGATTAAATTTTGTCTTGCGAAGTTTCACAGAATTTTGCACTTGATTTTATTTTATTTTGCAGCATGTCATCTCTCCTTCTCTCTCTTTCTTTTCATAAAAGTAGCGAAAAAGTTAAATTTAATTCAAATTTGGAATTAATCCAATTGGAATTAAGCCACATTTAAGAATCCACTATCAGATTTCTTATATATGATAAGATAATTCTTTATTATTTGTCTAAACATGTTATAAGAGAAAGAGAGAAAATCTCTTCTGAATACAAAAATTTTCCTCGCGTACTTTATCAACATTAAGCTCGTTAAGAAGTTCAACGAATAATGTCCCATTTTGGAGGCGAAAATTTTATTATCGCAATGAATAATTTTCTTTCATGTTTTTAAGCATCTAATTCCAAAGCGTTAACTTACTCCAGAATAAAAAATTCAAAACACTTGGAAAAACAAAAATAAAACTCTTTATATTATAATTACAACAGTTAATAAATTAAAATATCATCTTTCTTAAGATTTATGTAACTTTGGTATACAATCTATCAATCGCGCAGGCAACTCTGAAAGGATTCGCGTCACGCGACACAGGAAAAAATTGCAGGACGAAAATTGCACAGTACATTAAGAGACAAAAAAAAGCCTTTCATCGTTTTTTCATTCTAATCGCAAAGTGTGTAATCGCGACAGATTTCCGTCTCACCATGCGTCAGGATGTTGACGGTCTCATTGTGGATGTAGAAAAGGCTACCGAGGCACTGGCGGATGGTCATGAGCGGTCTGTAGCCGGTGAGGATGTGGGGATTAAATTGAAGGTGCCGCGGCATTTCGCTCCATCGCAGCAGCAGGACCTTGGCCGACGTCTCGGCGCCGTCGGGCATCCTCTTGTCGTCCTGACGCCGCGCTCCGTACGTGTCGGTGTCCTGGTGCGACGAGCCCGACACCGCCGCCGCATGGCGCGGTCGCTCGTCGTCCCGGAACAGCGTCGTGCAAAGGCGAACGCGCGGTGCCCGCTGCCTCGGGGAAGAGGGATCGGTCCGGCCAGCGGACGAGGCAGTATAACGAGATCGCCTCCGAGAGCCGTGCGCGAGCTCTCAACGGCGGCGACGTCGCCACTGCATCGTCGTGCGCGCCGCTGATACCCCCGTCCGCCCGCCCTCCTGCTCGCCAGCAGTGAGCAGCAGCCGTCATCCGCACGCGATTCGGCCTCTCTGACGGTTCCGTCGTCACGGCAACCGCATCGATCCCATCACTCGGACGGGGCGGTTAGGAGGAAACCTCATCGTGCGCGATCTCGCTGGATCTCGCAGCTCGATGTCGCGGATGCTCCTTATAGTTCCTATACCTGGCTTTCTTCACTAACCCAATGGGTCGTAACTATTTATGACTTGAACCGAAAGCTCAGTTACGTTTATTTCATACCCCGGACATCCTTCTCCCTTTTCCTTTGTTTTCGTACTAGTTTCTTGATGCTTATATAATATTTACAAGTAATAATGCGTGTCATGAAGCAGCTTGGAAAAATTTTTTATTGCTTGGTATTGTTTATTTATTTTAAAATATAATTTGATTTTAATCACAGTCGATTACATTTATTGTTATATTTATGCAATTAATGTATACAAATTATACATTTTTAATAAATAGAATTTTTTTTAGTTAACAAAGGACATGAATATGATTGTGCTTTAAACGGTATCAGAATTTTAAGCAGGACACATAGTTGGCGCACAGCTCCTGAATGTCCCATATAGAGCTTCCACGTGTGACCTATTGACACAATTTCGGTGGTTGGGTGTTTTTGAGTTAATATACTATGCTGGATATCCTTTCCTATTCCTACTGCTCAGGTTATACATTATGCAAAATATACATACTATTTCAAGCTTTATCGACTTGCATCGACGAACATTGCTTCGTCCTTGCAGTTGAATCATATAAAAACTATTGTGCTAGGAATAAAACAAATCGAAGGGAAACTTGAAGAACTGTATTTGTTATCAACGTGAATTTGCATTAAAAAAGTCTCAATAGAGATGGAAATCCTTTCCAAAGATGAAAGCAAGAGGTTTGAGTTGCATTGCTTTCAAAATATGGTATTAACTCTCAGAAGATGAAACATTATCGAAGAAGAAGAGAAACGTTAAAGAATCACACACAGACATTTTATCTATATGTAATGTTCATAGAACATCTTTTTATACCTTTTTAATACCACCCCATTGATATCTATTCTCTGCATCATACATTAAAAAAAATTTACCAAAGATCTGTTTTTTAATTCCTGGATTCTCTGAACTAAAACACACGGCAATAAATTGAAGCAAAACAAACGTATATTTGTTTCACTTCAATTTATTGCAACGTGTGCACCAATTCAGAGAGTGCAAGAATAAAAAACAGATATTAAATTTTAATACGTATTATTTTGAATATATAAATAATTATTTATTTACAATAAATATTTGATTAATGAAAAAATGATTAAAGTTAAATCAAATAAATAAATATTGTGTCAAATAAATATATATTTACATTTAGTAAATATCTATTTAGAACTATTCAAACAAATATTTATTAAAATTAATTTCTTTTTCAGTATAACTGAATACAATCAACCCGAATTTGCCAGCGAGAGTGCGCGCGAAAGTTGACCGTAGCTTGTTCTTGCGTGAAGCGCATCTTACGTCAGAGTCACTCAAAATCCGAAAAAGCGACAGGAACGTGACTTGGATCTTCGTCGGCGACTTGTCGCGGCCGCTGCCGTCGGGGACACGTTCTGGTCCGCAGATGCTTTTCGATCTGTAAGTCCACGTGATCTATTATAATTTTTCATAGCGAGATCATATAGCAATGCAGCATCTTATACGATAAACATCCCCTTGTTCCTCCCTCTCCCTCCCGGCGCATAAAGACTGTTTTAGGACTTGGGACGAGACTCGATACCCCAAACAATGGATACCAAAATTCCCGATGGGCCACCTGGTGTTGACCTTCACCCAACATCTAAATGTCCGCATGTCGTACTCGGGGTGAGTTCCACCGCGACGGCGCAAGCGCACCCCGATGACGGGGTGCACTACTTACAGCAAGTATTCCTGGTGAGTATCACGCGCGCGATTGTGATGTGTGCAAGTATCGCGCTGCGTTCCCTCCTTAGACTATCCCCGAGGAGTGTTCGTGACATGCCCCGTTGCTTAACAATTTGGACCGGTCGTGCCAGTCGGCCGTGTCTCGCTGTGCAGGTAGTCGGCGCACATCTGTCTATCCCTTTTGGCTTACGACGTCACATCTTCAGATTCATCCTCCTCCCTCCCAATTAAATCTCTTCTGCTACCGCACTATGGGGTTGTAATTTGAAAAGTAATGGTGATTAATTGAGAATTCAGTTAACTCAGATTGTCGATGTCAATCAATTGCAATCTCGTTTATTCTGACGTGCTGCTTACCTATGTTACGTTATGTTTTGGCGCAAGCCTAATGTGTCACGTGGTCTCGTTTGCGAGACGATCGAGCTGGCGCTCGTACTGATATCGACGTTCTGTCGACTGCATGAAGATTAACACCTTTGCGTAATCGCGCGTAATTCTTCCATGTACATAGCAGTAGAGACAAAATGTATCTTACAAATCGCATCTCCTGTAAAATACTTCTATTTTTCACTTGTTTGTTATTTATAATATAATCTGACAGTAAAGAGAACATGTAATTTATACGCATTTGCGCTAATATATATATATATGTATATATAGAGTAGTCCACTTAAATCGATCATCTGAAATGTCTCGCTTATTTTTGATAATATAAAAAAATGTTTCGAAAATGAAAGTGGAAGGGTTTCGAGAGGGACGTATTTTGGTTATGTTGTTTTTTTTTAGGTGTAGTCGCCAAAAAGATATCAAAGTTATCTCCACTTTTTAAAATGGAATTGTATAATTTTTTTTACACAATATGATTCCTCTAATTATTCTGCATATAAAAGTATTAAGTCAGTAATATCAAAAAATCAATAGTTGACGAGATTTTTACATTTTATTCTGGCACATATTGATATAAAATGTTAAATAACTCGTAAACTTACTTAAATTAACTTTTCAATAATTGTATCTTAATACTTTCATGAACAGAATAATGAGATGAATCAATTGATGGAAAGAAAATATAATCGCTTATTTAAAAAATTATCCATTTTTGGCATACATATATTTTTTTTAAGCAACTATGTGTTTTCTTTGCATCAACTGATTCATCTCATTATTCTGTTCATAAAAGTATTAAGGTACGATTATCAAAAAGTTAATAGTTTACGAGTTATTTAACATTTATGTCAATATGTGCCAGAATAAAGTGTAAAATATCTCGTCAACTATTAGTTTTTTTGATATCGCTACCTTAATACTTTTATATGCAGAACAATTAGAGGAATCATATTGTGTAAAAAAAAATCATATAATTCGATTTTAAAAAATATACTTAACCTTCATATCTTTTTGGCGCCTCTATCTAAAAAAAAAACAACATAATCAAAATACGTTCCTCTCGAAACCCTTCTACTTTCATTTAAAACATTTTTTTATATCATCAAAAATAAGCGAGATATTTCAGATGATCGATTTAAGTGGACCACCCTGTATATATATCTTTTTGTAAAATTCGTATGCTTTTAGTGGAATAACTATCTGATAATCCTGAATCCAATTTAGAGGTGTTTTTTTATTCCCGTTCTTTCTGGAGCGCATGATAGCGTGTGATAAGTTGAAGTGAAACAAATATACTTTGTTTCAACTTATCGCACCGTGTGTTCCAGTTAGGCAGCGCAAGAATAAAAAGATCTAAAGTCACACAGCATCTTTCATTTGTTGCAAAATGTAAACTTTAATCATAATATCAAAGTATTCCAGTGTAATGTATTAGATTTCTTCTTTTTAATTGAACTTCTTGCATCGTTTATTTTTTCTCTTTGTTTCTCTAACATGGAGAGAAAAAGAGGACAAATGAATCTACAAGAAGTACAGCTGAAAAGAACAGGTCTATAACAAAAGGTCCGTTTTTTTAGCTGAATTTCTTGCACGGTTTGTGCACTTTCTTTCTTTCCTGTCCATGTTGGAGAAAAAAAGAAAGAAAAAAACGAATCGCAAAGAGAAATTCAGATTTAAAAAAAGGCCTAAATACAGCGGTCTAATTCAATATAAACACTTCTTTGCTACAGAACACCTGCAGGGAACTATGGACAATCCCGGAAGGTGCGATCGCGACGACGGCAGCAAACTACTTTTCCAATGACCAGTCAAAGTACATCTCGTTTGGTGTAGTAACTCAGGTAAAAATGTACTATTGTAACAGCAAGTGTCTCTTGTGACTAGTTTTAAATCCGTGAGTGTAATATCGTGGCGAGAAATTAATAGCTGCGTTCAACAGAGAAAGCTCATTTTAGTGAACGCCTAGTGATTTTTTAATATGATTCTACAATTAGATCCAGCAAAGAACTAAAGGCAAGAAATTATATTAAAAAATCAGTTAGCGCTTAGTGATTTTTTAATATGATTGATTCTTGCCTTTAGTTCTTCAATGAATCTAATAGTGATTGGTTGCATTCACAGTATGCACATTCAAGTGCACATTAAAGCTCTCGTACTCAAATTGACATAAAAATATATGTTTAATATAAGGATAAAAACGGATTAAACCAGGAAATCTTCAGTATATTTTATTGCTATAAGTAAAATCCGTATTTTATAATTTAAACTATTTGCATCTTACTTTTACACAGATTAAATTACTGTACAACGGTTTTAATATGCACTAGTGCGTCCAACCAAAACTTCGCTATAAGTATAGGAAAACCAACCATAAAGAATTACTCTGAACGCTCCCTAATCAATTTTATCAGCTTAACGCAGCTATACTCTTACGCAACATTGCGTAAAAGAATGGCTGCTTGTACGAAATGTCGTTTCGTTATCTCCAGTTTTTTTCCAAATCGTAGTATTGCGCCATCCCGTTAAAATACTATCATTATGTATCTCTCGGGACGATTTTCGCGCATTTTTTTGTAATTCAAATTTACATGTAGTTCGTCGAATGATCATTGTTGAATTGTGCGGGGAACGCTGACAACGAAAATGATAACAATACTGCTTTCGTTCAAACGATACTCGCGGTGTGGTGCCACCTACGAATCATCCATCCCGTCAGTGATCTGGTTTCATTCGTTTCTATATGTTTGTTGTCCAGTACCATATATATATTCATATATGGCCTATCTATTTGTCGAAATATCCTTCTTTTGCTCGCAGTTCTTCGCCAAAGTCGATTATGATCTGGCACATGATAGAGCAACTGCTGTACAAAGGCTTTATGTGGATATCTAAGAATGTATGGAGACAGGTACGCAAAAAATTTCCGTGGTGTATAAAACTGTGTGCGATGCTCGATTAAGGACTTATCTAGATAAACGTACATAGCCGTATAAACGTACGTATAAAGAAAATTATCCAATTGCATTTTTTCTGCGTCTTTACGACAGAAATGTAACTGGATAATTTTCTTTATGCATATATTATAGTTATGCAGTTATACAAGCTTGTTTAGACCTTAATAGCAATTTATTAGCGATACCTTGGTTAAACGTTGGGACATATTGGGCCAATATTTGGTCATACATTGTGCTAATAATTGTGCTACTAGAGGAGAGACCTTAAACCCCAGCAAACAAGCTGACGATGGCTGTATTCCAAAATTGATTGCTGATACTGAAAATCTTGTGTACGTAACGCAAACTAAAGATTTTCAGCGTTGGCAGTAAATTTGAAACACAACCGTCATTTAAACGTTAACATAACAGTTAAATAACATTAGTTTGTTTATTAGGACATAACGTACGTTTGCTCAACATTTTTGCTTGATATTTATTTATAATTATTCCACGCGAGTGAATTAGGTTTTGAAAGTTCTTAATTAAACATCCTCAAATATATGTTTACCCGCATTCGCCGATAAATTTTCTTCTACTTAATTTTAAGATTCATGAAATTCGTTTCTAATCTCTACTTATCATTATGACTAATAATGTTATCTACGGTAGATAGTGGACGTTACATAAATAATTCTTCGAATAAAAGTATAGGTATTTGACTATATACTCCACACAGAGCATTTGAATTCCTTACTGTTTTTCTAATGATTTTTCCAAAAGATTTAATTCTTCTCTAAATGGAAATATGAATGTGTGAAGGCCATGTTTATTAATGATGCCTACACGCGGCAACGTTTAAAAACTATTCAGAAAAATGTACATATTTTAATTAATATGATAAATGCATTACTATCAAGAATTTTATTCCAACATGCTACGATCGATCGAAATAATCCGTACGATAATACGTAACTGGCGTACGCAGATGAAACTTTTTCTATCAAATCAGAAGTTCCGGTATTCTGAAATACTTTGATTTCGTGCGCATTCGCTTCACTTCGTGTGTCATCGACTACTTGCAGGGATGGACAAATTTTTAGGGGTTATTTAATGGCAGATAATCGGAGCATTGAACAAAGAGGCCGCGAAGTTAAAAACAAATTAAGGAAATTAACAATTATTTTTATGTGAGAATTGATTTTACATTGATAAAAAATAAGCTTGTTTATAATCATCAAAACGTATAAATTCGCGTGATGTTTTAGAAAAATCCATATGCAATTGTTTTTATCGTTCTTTATTTTACTTTTAATTTGACTAAAAATTTTTATGCTGTTACTAGAATTTTTGGGAAAACGATTTTTTGTGTATCACAAAATTATCTTACATCTTATAAACTTTGATATTCTACTAATTCTAGATTTTTTTTTAATATATCGACAAACTATAAATTGTAGTTTCTTATAAGTAAATCTATTAACGTATAAAGTTGCAATGCCGTTGGTAGTCGAATATTATTAGACACATGATGTAAGAATACAATAGGTGATTTATTACGCATAACGACGATCGAATATAATTTTGAAGCGAATTTCTTATTGATAAATTTCTAACAGTGGTTCTATATTAGCTTTTGTAACATTTTGGCAGTGTTGGAACGTATCTAGGTAAAAGTCTCAAGATACGGTATCTAGATACTTCAGCTGTACCTAGATTCTTATTAACGCATTTAAGCAACACTGCATTTTGAGCTAATTTTCTGATTGGTTATCGACTGCACGAAACACCTTTATTCTTACATCATAATTGGGCAGTTCATCGTATTGTCGAATTTCGGATAACGATGTAAAAGCTGTGTGAGGCCTCACGAAGGGCCAAGGTGCCAATAGAGCCGTCCCTGGCTCCCCGACAATCGCCGAGTGATGCCGAAGAGGTCTCGCCAATCGCATTGATCCAAAGTCCCACGTCGTTGTCACACAACACTGTCGTACGTCGCACACTGTCGGTGCTCTTTGGCATTCTTGTGTTTAGTGGGTTCAATTCTGGGACCAAGCGAGCCTATTCTGCCTATCCGACGTAAGTCCGCACTCCATAACGTAACCCGCATCCAGCTCGTGACGTGACTAACGAATCTGCGTGTGTTATCCGGCTGGGATCTGTACGTGTATGCTGCATCACGCTTTGGTGCACCTCTCTCTGTAATTCCAAGATGGCCGCCGATGCTTGGAAGGTGTCCCCCCTTATGGTGTATCGTCTGCGTCCTCTTTTACGCATCCCTCGCACACGCTTTCCATTTCATTTGCTTCGATAACCGCCTCTCATCCGATTGACGAAGGGCCACGCGCGTCGCTCCGTCTCGCGACGCGTCGCCGCGCGCGATTCCTTCGATTCCGAATCTCGCGATCGCCATCGATGGCGCCCAAGATGCCTCCTCGAGGCGTGATGCGCCATCATCGATCCTCGACGGCGAAGCCACGCGCGCGCCTATGTTCACGGCACTAACATCATTTTTTCCACCGCACCGCCGTTCATCGCACGCTTTCGCGTCGTCTCTTTCGCCGCGATTCACGCGATTTCCAGCCGCGTACGCGTCGTTTTGGCGGGATCATGTCTGGAGGGTCACGAATACGCACGCGATTCGAGTAGGTGTGACGCAACACGAAAAATGCACGACTCTTTCGAGAGAGAGAGAGAAAAAAAAAAGAGACCTCGCTCGTTCCGTTGTCCTTAAATATCCGACGCTGGTCTTTTCGACGGGTTCTTTTTTTTTTACCTTTCTTCTCTACTTCCCCTCTCCCCCTCTCCCTTTTTTTCCCCCCCCCCCCCTCCTCGCGGAGTGGGCTAATCTGTACGGTGTCTGTGACGCTCTCACGAATGCGATTGCCCACGTTTTGCAGAATTTTTTGAGCCGATGTCCACGTGGTTGTCGAAAAACAGTGTCATACCGCAAGCGTCATCCACACGCTCCTGGATATCGGCCGTCATCGAATTCATTTGGGATCAAGTGAGCCTGTTCCGCTTTACCAACGTAAGTACACGCAGTATGGCCCCGGTGTAAGACTCCGGGTACGGAGTTCCCTCCGGTGACTCTATTCGGCGCCCGTATCACGTGAATCTGCCACGTATCGTTCTCGGTCTTCGACTCCGAAATACTCGCGCTGTCGTTGCTCCGCCACCCGTTCGATTCGCGTTTGTCGACCTTATCGGTTATACCTGCCTTCTCATCTTGTCGCACCTCATTTTTCATAAATTTGTAATCGCACGCATGATGGTCTGGCTCGGTTACATCAACGGTGTGGGACTAACCCATTTTCTAGACTAGAATATTTTGGATTAATACTGTGTATCCATAGTGCTTTTCATTTTCATACTGATTGTGAGTCTAAAGTTATGCGGGTATTTTATACTCCAATAATAATGTCATTACTTGATTATTTTGGTGACGAAGTTATCGCATAACGATAAATTAATACAGGTTTATAACTCACTTTTAATGTGAGTTATACCTGTTTTCATTAATGTAGATTAATTTTAAGGTCTGTTTTCTAGTTGTAGTTGAATTAGTATATACTTTTAGAACTTAAAGTGAATAGACATGTTTTTATGATATTTGGTGGAAGCGAGAAAGAAAATTTTAGTGCAGTTTAATGCAGGAATAAAAAAACAGACCTTTAATCTTCAACTTACTCTTTAATTATTTCTAAAGCTGACTTTTCATGCGCAGTGTGTTGTGGCAGCAAAATGTTATCATTGCTTAAACATTTTTTGTGTGTTAATGCATTTCCAATCACTTCTTGAAAATATGGATCAGATAACATTTTGCTGCCGCAGCGTAATATGCATGAAAAGTTAGCTTTAGAGTTAGAAAAAGATGGAAAGTAAAGGATTATTTATACTAGCTGTAATTTGTTACTTAATGCCGTAATCTGTAAGAATTGACTACGTTTACACGTCACTCTTAATCGAGTTTAATAACATCTGTAATTACGAAACTCACCAATTATAGCTATTGGTAAGTTTCATAACTACAGATTTAGTCATTCTATTCTTGTAAAGAATGGAATGACTATGATTTGCCACTTTCATAACTGCAGATGTTATTAAACCCGATTAAGAGTGTCATGTAAATGTAGTCATTGACTAATCGTAGCTGGTTATTCCTCTCATTCAACTGTAATTAAGCCAGTTCTTACAGATTACAGCATAAGTTATCAAATTACAGCCAGTATAAATGATCTTTAAGTCGAACCGAGATTAAAATTAATCTACGTTGGTGGAAATGAGCATTAACTAGACTCAGTAAAGCACACAGTTTCGAGTTTGTACAGATAGTAAGTAAAAACTCAGTTGAATCTCACATGTCAGAATGAAAAGGAACATGCATTCGTACTGACGTATGACGTTATAGATCTGAGTTTTTTTATGTAAGTGGAAAACAACTTATATAAAGCCCATATCAAACTAGAGATTGAAATTGGATTTCAATTTAACCAATCAGAAGAAAAAAAACAATATCAAGTTTTGTAAACTTTGTTTTGATCTGTCAAATTCCAATTCAATCTCAATTTCAAGTCTAATCCGGGTTTAACACGCAGCGTGTTTGTTTTGAAGGTCCGAACATACTAGGCCTGTTCTCTTTGGCTGAACTTTTGCATCAGCTTATCTTTTTTCCTCTTCTTTCCTCCTGGAGAGAAAAGGAAGAAAGATGAACCGGTGCAAAAGTTCAGCCAAAAAGAACAGGCCTATTGAGTGTTTTCCATTTGGTGACACTAGTCGACGCAAACATTATTCTTTCTTGGTATTTCAGTGAGTAATAAAGATATAGCGACACTTAATGTTAATTTACGATCAAATGGAAAGAACCCAATTAAAAGCTCAGGCAATAAGATCAAAGAATGAACACAGGCATTAGATTTTAACCTATCAGAAACCGTGTATGAATGTAAAGAAATTTCTGGTAGTGTTCTAGTTTGATATACTGCCTGTATTTTTTTATTTTCTGTTCTTTTTTATTGCCTGTGATAATCATTATGTCTGGGCCTTTAGTGTTAATATGTGATTATTCCTTTAAGTATGTTAGAACTGTAAATATTTTGAAGGAATTATTTTGTTTTTAAAAGGATTTCTCTAATAATTATGGATTTATCCACATTTTACATCCTTTACATTAAGGTAACTCCGGTATATACGCCGCACCTATCAAAAACTTAATTTATTAAGTATTATTTACTATGTTTAAAATAAACGAACTATATCAGTAAAAACTTTGTACTGTCTACTACTATGAAAAAAATATTAGAAATCTGAAATATTTAGTTTTCGTATTAAAAAATAAACTTTTTGAAATCTTGCATTTTTGCTATATATAAATAATGGGTGGGATATATGGCAAAAATGCAAGGGTTTCAACAAACTAAACAAAGAATACGAAAGCAAAGCACTTATATTTTGCTCTATACAACATGCTTTACTATTCCTCTACACGTATGTATCACGAAATAATCACTAGGTCTTTTACATGTCTTACAGTAATCGTTTTATGTAGATTATAATTTATGATGATGCTACTTGTTACACACACAGTGACAAATCGATTCAACTCACAATAATTTCATTAATATTAACAGTAAGAAGCTAAAAAATTATAACTCAATACTAATATAACATAAAGGCATGTAACAGAGTAATTGCGAGAAAATTACCCCTACTCCTTCTATTTTTTCTGACTTCCGTGGCGTAAATCCCAGCGCGGCGTATATACCGGAGTTACCCTATATGTTTTTCTCGCAAAATTTAAATATATCTTTTATTGTTTCTATTAATGAAAGAAATAATTATCTACTAATATAAGCTTGATATATATTGTATGATAATAAAACAGTAATTTACAAAAATAAGAATCAATAAAATAAGAAATTAAGATTAGCGTTAGAAATTGATAATGTTCATAAATTGAATTACGTTTGCCTTAAATGTCTGGATTAATAAGCGTGATTAATGAGAGATTATTTATTAGAGTTTTTTTCTTTCAGATTTATATTATTTTATGAACCTATATAAGCAGGAAATGAAATAAATTAACGCAATAAACGTTACCAGACGCAACTGTTTTCTTTGGATAATAAAAGGACAGAATCGATCTTTTCTTCTTTGTACGATATATGCTTCTCATATTTTCTGCTTAAAATGGAGCGAATGTAAAGAAGCTCTAAGAGAGTATAGAAAGTGCCATATAAATAATGCGAACAGACTTTACGACAACTGGCGACGTTAAATCACAACATGCATCTTGCTTGTGCTATCGCTGTCGCCTATTTTTCTATCTCCGCCTAGCTTGGGCTTTGACCTCTTATTTTGCTTCTCTTCATAGAGGGTCTTCAGTGAAGAGTAAAAATAATCCTCATCGAATATACACTATTTAGATCATCTATCTAAAGTTAAACATCCTAATACTTATATCTATAAATCCTTTGCATTATGCAGGATTTTATGCAGAAAATAAACGTTACATGTATTTTATATATATATTAACTATTTACACAGTAATACATTGATGCTTCTTTCTAATTTAAACTTTTATTTTTATTTTATTTTTAACATTAAATACTTAATCTGGCTTTCCGACACTCGACAGATCTTGAAGTTAAAAAAAGATCTGTTAAAAAATCTTTAATTATATATTTTAATTATAAATATAAAATTATATAATATATAATATCAAAATATAAAATGTTTTAAAAAAATATATAGTAATAATAGAACATATGATTTCTTTTCGTACAGATTATAAGTAAAAAATATCCGGTTTGTATTACAGATGCCACGAAGCAGAAGGCGTCACCGGTCTCGTAGCCATTCGAGAACACGTTCACATTCTGTAGGCTCCCCACAATATGAGCATAAACGCAGACGTATCGATTATGAGAGTCCACAGAGCAAAGGAACCTATAGGTAAGTTTTAATCCTTGAATAGAATGTATTCTTTCATTATCTTCGACAACATATGATTCAATACATTTTTTGCTAACATCCGTTTCGTAATAAGAATTTACATACAAATAATTTTTGATTTATATGCAAATTTAATCTGTGTCGTTCTAATTACTTAATCCATATTCCATATCGTTCTTATGGTAAACACCATGAAGATATATTCAAGAAATATTTATTAATAATTCAAGATTAGTTAATTAAATAATTAAAATTAAAATGTGATTAAAAGAGATGAGCTTTTGTCATAAAAATGCTAGTCAAAGTGTATTTTAACAGAAAATTTTTAATTACGTATAAAAATAATTATACTTTATAACGATCTCGTAAAAAAAAAAA